TGTGAATCGACGATCCAACCGTCGGATAGTCACCAAACTTTGATACGTAGTAGTATGTAATATTTGAAGAATATAGGAACTTAGGGATCGGGAATTTGATAGACGGATCTTCCCGAATTGGATTTGAAAGTTCATAAAATAAAATGTTAACTGCCACTTAGTTTTAGAAATTGGCGGAGATCCAACCGTCGGATCATAACGAAATTTTAGTATGTTGTTCTAGAAGCTTAATGTGTATCTTGGGAAGTGACAGATTAGAAATCTGAGCTGTGGATCTTCCAGATTGAGTTATTTGGGGTTATGACCCTACCGTCGAACTTGGTCGACGGTTGACCTTTGATCAACGGGTCTCGCATTATTCTTGAATGCCCTTGAGGATATGTGTTATGTGAATTACATATTCTATGGATAAGAGTTCTGAGATGTGGTTTGATAACTGTTTTAGGCACCAACTGTTCGAGACGTCTTGGTTCTGATGTTAGAGAGTCGTAGCATGGACCCTAGGTGAGTGGGCAGTTATTTTCAGTATATATATATATATATATATATATATATATATATATATATATATATATATATATATATATATATATACTTTACGTTTTTCCCAGAAAAAGTATTTAAAGGAAATGCAATTTAAATTCCATGCCATAAATGCCATGCATATACAATTATGTTTCGTGCATGAATTGATGTGTGATTATATATATAAATGTGGTTCTGTGGAGGCACAGGTAAGTTCAGGTAAGTTTTGTTTGGTTATGTAAATCATCGATGATGCGATATGTGATTGAGAAGCGATAGCTCATAAACTTGCACCTAGGGTGATTGCGATTTAGCCAGAGAGAGCTGGCACATGCCTGTATATTATGTCACATCCCGCACCATATGCTCACATTAGATCCAATTAGGTGCACGGTCTTGTCGTAGAGACCACTATAAGTGGTTCCAAGTCATAGGTGACTAACGTATTATCGTACAGCTAGCATTGAAAGAGTAGAATTGAGCATAATTATATTACACTCAACCTTGTCGTACAAACCCTTTTCAGTGGTTCCGACTTATGTGCAATATATTGCCGTATAGGTCATAGTAGTGACTCCGGCTAGATTGAGTTTGAGCTATGAATTCAACCGTACAGACTACCACAGGGGTTCCAGCTAACGTATTATATTTCTATGAAATCATTCTTACCTGAATTGTTTACTTTGTTATATCTTGGCATGGCATGCATAAGTTTATGATTATGTGAAGCATGAAATGATTTGATACACGTTCATATATATATTTATGTATATGCTTATATCTATTTTCTGGGAAAGTAACCATATACTTGTTTTACAGTGAGGGGTTAGTATATTCAAAGGAAAATAAGGTCTTCGTATAAATATGTTTTACTGACCCACTCAACTTTGTTTTTCGCCCCTCCAGGTCTTAGATAGCAGAGTTTGGTGGCCACGAGGACTCCAACGGTGTTCTGACATAATCCGAAAAAGTAGGATTCACCTTCGGGTGTTGTATTTTAGTAATCATCCTACTCAACTGCAACTAGACGCTCTTATTGCTCTGAAAGTGTATTTATCCACTTAAACTCTCACCGGCATCCTTTCCTAATTGGGATTGTTAGTTAATAGGTTTTAAATTGTTAGTATTTCTCTTACTCTTTATCGCTTCTGCTTTGCGCTCATGGCTACGTCACTATCACGTGACGGCCAGCACGTCTCGACTCCGGTCGGGGTGTGTTATATATGTATAATATACATTCATATATTTGCTACTTGAGTTAAGGTAGAATGTTTTGCAGATAGATTTATGTTAGTATATTAATTTTTTTTGTTATAAGATATTAATTAGATATTTTGGAGTTGAAAAATGCATAATATTAAAAGATTTTAATTGATTTTTAATATTTTTAGAAAATATAAAATGAGTATAAAAGAAATAAAAACATATAATTAGATAACTGGACTCACTTCTAAAAACTCTCTATGTTTTTGGACCTAGATCTAAAAGCCCCTTTGTTAAAATCAAACCAAACCGACCATTATAGTTCAGATCAGTTGGTTTGGTTGGTGTACGAGTATCTTTTGTGGTATTATTATGGTCAGTTGTTTACACAAGTGTTTTTTTTTACTGTTATTGCATGTGAGATTTGTTGAGAGTTGGTCTACGTTGAAATTAAAACTCTGTTCGTACTAATGTAAGGTTAGTGTTATCCACACATTGAATTTTACTTCTCCACGTCCTTCTCAATTTTCGGTCGTCAGATCGAATAGATCGAAGAAGATCAATAGCAAAAATTTAACAAAATGTATGAAAAGTAAAAATAAGTGTGTGAATAGCAATATTCTAGTTTAAATAGTAACATTCACATGTTAATGGAGAGAGTTGAGAATCATCCTACAACCTGCAGACACTCGCCCATCAAGGCTAAAACATTTCTCATGTCACAAGGCGATTCACAAACTCCTCATTCCTTGATTACCAAGATTAGTAGTAAGGTCTCGTGGTATTCATCTTCACTTATAAGTGAAATGTCAGTTCAATTCTCGTCGAATTTGAAGTTAAACCATATTATTATGACAAGCCCAACCCAATTAAAATAAAGAAACAAGAATTTGATTCGTACCCTCTCGAGTAAGCCCAAGACGATCTTGTTGGGTTAGACCTCTTACCCAATATTTATGTAAATGACTATTTTGTGTTTACACCTAAAGCTTGTTTAGGATTGCTTATAGAAAGCTGTAAGCACTTATGAACATAAATAGTTTTAGAGAAACAAATTCCAAACGATCTTTTATACTCCAATAGTTGTGTTTAAACAAGAAGATTCCCGAGAAAAATAAACTATGCATATTCATCTATGTATATTGGCCTCCACAAGTGTAGGGTAACGAGTCACTTAAGTCTTATAAAATGAGTTAACAATCCATAGCAAGTTTAATTTTTCAAGGTTTTGTTAAGGTTAAACTCTTATATCACACGACAACCAAGAAAAACTCTTTGTACAACACACTTATCTTTTTTGGTAGTTAGAATTGGACTCAAAAGGATAACTCAGTTGAACAAAAATTATGTCCAACTGAAAGGTAGAAATTGAATTCTCATTAAGAAAACTATTTGCCAATTCTCCCTCCCTATTGTCCTCATTCCAGTACTACAGGTTTAGAAGGGATAAGTTCCTTCCTATCTAATTGCCTCAACATGAAAAATGATTCGCCTCTATCTTCGATATACCTTGAACTTAGAGAGTTATTCATTACGGACTAAATGAAAGAAAAAAAAAAGAAAAGAACTTTTTAGAAAAACTAACAAAAAGTCCAAAAAAAACTTTAGTTTTAATGAAAAATGACAAATAAATGTGTAAGTGAATAGTACCAAGAAAGTTTAAAATGTGGTTTTTCGTTAAAAGTGAACAGTACCAGGAATGTTTCGTTAAAACTTCTTTTTTTATTTTATAGGCAACAAGGATTATTTAATTCATACATAAAAGATGTCATTTTGATTCAAGACTTCTCGATTCCAAATAAATAAACGTTCCAATGCATTAATAGGAACACATTCTTATCATTGAATAAATCTTGGGCCAGGGTTTAGAATTCAAACCTTGTAAAATTAAAACAGGCCAAATTGTAGCCCATTAAACATGGCCCATCTTAACAATAATAAAATCCAATGTTTGTTGACAAAATAAGCCCAGCCCACATCACAACTACAAACCCTGAAAACCCTACCCGGCTCACCAGACCTACTATAAAAGCAAGATAACAGGGTCACAGGGCTTTAGGCAGCCACTCTCAGAGAAGAAACCACCAAACCCTAGAGTCACAGAACCCTCTGAAAAATGCCGGCTGGACACGGTCTCCGTTCCCGGACTCGTGATTTGTTCTCGAGGGCCTTCAGGAAGAAGGGGTACATCCCGCTCTCCACCTACCTCAAGACCTACCGGATCGGCGACCATGTCGATGTCAAGGTTAACGGCGCCGTCCACAAGGGTATGCCTCACAAGTTCTACCACGGCCGTACCGGTCGCGTCTGGAACGTCACCAAGCGCGCCATCGGTGTCGAGATCAACAAGCAGGTTAATTTCCATTTTTGTTTTCGTGTGTATTCATTTGGAGTTTGGATTGCCTGCAAGGTGTTAGATGATATGCTTGTGTGAAAATGTTTGTCTGGATTTGTTGGTTTTTGCTGAAATTTCTTCACTTTAGGTCTGATTTGGACTTGATGGTATCTAAATGGAATCAGGGTAAAATACAACTGTGTTGTTTCCGGGGTTTTTGTTGTTATGTGGAAATTGTAGCTTAGATTTATATGTTTCTAGGGATGTTTTAGGGTTTCGTCTGATGCTACCTTATGGATGCTAAATCTACTGTAGATTTGTATTTTATGCTGTATGTAAAGTTGGGTATCGCACATCAACAACGACAACAAAGCCTTATCCTACCAAGGGCGGTCAGCTGTATGGATTTAGGATGATTTTTAGAGAGAGTAGGTTAATAGTTCGTGTAGGTCCATATGGAGTTCTGGTTTGAGTATTGCAATGTTGATCATTGTCTTAAATTTATGGTCAAGTTCTGTATGAATTGGAGTCCTGTACTGCCATTGTCTTAGTGATTGTTGCATACTTAACCTTGGATTTGGTCACCAAAGATTTTAAACAGTATGCTTCTATATGATATCAGGTCGGAAACAGAATCATCAGGAAGAGGATCCATGTGCGTGTGGAGCATGTGCAGCCATCAAGATGCACCGAAGAATTCCGTTTGAGGAAGATAAAGAATGATCAGCTGAAGGCCGAGGCTAAGGCAAAGGGTGAGGTCATTAGCACCAAGAGGCAGCCAAAGGGACCCAAGCCTGGTTTCAGGGTGGAAGGTGCCGTCATGGAAACCGTTACTCCCATTCCTTATGATGTCGTCAATGATCTTAAAGGAGGGTACTAGGTTTAATTTCCGTTTGCTTTGGTCAATTCAAATGTTTCCGTAGTTTCGTTTTACAAATTTTTGAGCGACTTTGATGTGCCGCAGTAGAGACTGCTTGGATTTTTGTCTTATGATATATGTTATGTTTTCAAGTACAATTTTATGCGAATGTGGAAATTATTAGGGTTGTGATTAAAGCTTTTCCTGATTATTCATTCCTCAGCTTTTGCATTGTCCTCTCGACTTAATGCTTTAAACCCAAGTTTAGTAAATAGCGTTGCTGTTATTAGTCTGGAGATTTCCACTCCACTTAATGCTTGTGCTGCTCGCTGAACGGGGCGAGTTGGGCAGCTCAGATATGAGAACCCGTATGCTTTTAGTTGACCTCTCTGAGCTACTCAATTTTCCCCGTTAAACTCACTTTCATCCCTCAACTTTTCCATCCAAACGCATGTATATCAGGTCAGCACCATCCCGATCAAGTACGAATGAATACGCCTTTGGTCTTTACAATAGCTCGAGCGTTAACAGAGCCTTTTCTAAAGGATACCTGATAGCCTACCAAAACAATCTCCTGTGCTCTTAAAATGGATGAAACTCGTTGACGAAATAATGTGAACTTCCACAACTTCGTTCTACAGTCTCTTGGTATTCCTCCAATCTCGTTAATGGCGAATTTGAACTACATTATTACTGTTGTGAAGTTCCCGTCACCCTCTTCCGTAGTGTAGATAATATCATTTATCTAAAATAAATAAATAAAAAGAAATTATTATTGGTATTCCAACAATCTCATTTTGTATTCCAAACTTTTTATAATTAAAAAGAAAAATACACTTACAAAGAGTGTAGATAGCCAAGCAGCCATTCTCAGGGCCCCAACTGGTCATAGCCTACCGGATCCCATCATGAAATGGCAGCAACACCGCAGCAGGTGGTTATTCGCTACAACTTCAGTTGTTCACGAACCCACACAAGATTCTGATACAACATAATACTGATCAGCTACCATTTCACAGCTAGAGCCACCAACATGTGATACAAGATCTATATAAATCCAGCAGCAGAGGTTATACAATTGAAAACAGGTTGGGACTAGATATAGTAGTCTTAAGCACCCTACGGGATTGAGAAACTTCCCAAGCCCAAAGGGATTGAGGTCAAGTTAATAAGTAATGGATTACAAAATGCTCGATAAAAGGGATTAGAAATGCACCACATGAGCATTACAAAGGCATGTGAGGGGTTTGCAAATCCCTACCAGGAAGGAATCATTTATAAAATTCATTTACATGACTTTGTAATGCTCATGTGTGCCATTCTAATCCCTCTTATTACCTAATAATTTGTAATCCGTCCCTTACTAACTTGGCATTAATCCCTTGGGACCTGAAAATCCCTCATCCAAACATAGCCTAAAGAAATTAACCACAAACTTGTTTACCGTGTCTCATTACTGTGACTGCAAAGTGGAGCCCAACATACAAGGTTTCAGAGAGAGTATCATACTGGGCATCCGCAGCACGGTAACTAAATCACAGGTCCAACTCATGTGCATCATCAGGCTACAGGGAAACACCAGTTCAATTTCTACCATCACAGCAACTACAAACCCATTCAGGTTCATAAGGAACGACATGTCCGTCCAAATCACATGCAGAGCATCATCAGCTACAGGTAAAGACCCAGTTACGACCACCACAGCAGCTAAAACCCCTTTAACCGACTATTAGGTCAAACATAGAAATCCTAATTATATAACATTTCAGAAACAAATAGCCAAGCCATATTTCTTACCAACATATATCACAACAACAACAACAACAAAGCCTTTTCCCACTAAGTAGGGTCGGCTATATGAATCCTAGAACGCCATTGCGCTCATTTGTGTCATGTCCTCCGTTAGATCCAAGTACTCAAGTCTTTTCTTAGGGTCTATTCCAAAGTTTTCCTAGGTCTTCCTCTACTCATTCGGCCCCGAACCTCTGTCCCGTAGTCACATTTTCGAACCGGAGCGTCAGTAGGCCTTCTTTGCACATGTCCAAACCACTGGAACCGATTTTCTCTCATATTTCCTTCAATTTTGGCTACTCCTACTTTACCTCGGATATCCTAATTCTCAATCTTATCCTTTCTCGTGTGCCCATACATCCCACGAAGCATCCTCATCTCCGCTACACCCATTTTGTGTACGTTGATGCTTCACCGCCCAACATTCTGTGCCATACAACATCGCTGGCCTTATTGCCGTCCTATAAAATTTTCCCTTGAGCTTCAGTGGCCTACGACGGTCACACAACACGCCGGATGCACTCTTACACTTCATCCATCCAGCTTGTATTCTATGGTTGAGATCTCCATCTAATTCTCCGTTCTCTTGCAAGATAGATCCTAGGTAGCGAAAACGGTCACTTTTTGTGATCTTCGCTAGATTGCTCGGTCATTAGTGTGGATAAGTATATATAAATGGATAGAGATAGGAAAGCAAACACAAGATGTACGTGGTTCACCCAGATTGGCTACGTCCACGGAATAGAGGAGTTCTCATTAATTGTGAAGGGTTTACACAAGTACATAGGTTCAAGCTCTCCTTTAGTGAGTACAAGTGAATGATTTAGTACAAATGACATTAGGAAATATTGTGGGAGAATGATCTCGTAGCCACGAAACTTCTAAGTACCGGAGTGTGGTATCGTCTTGACTTGCCTTATCTGTCTCATAGGTAGATGTGGCATCTTCTCTGGAAGTACTCTTCCTCCATCCAGGGGTGGTATCTGTAACTGGTGGAGATGCACAAGGTAATGTATCAATTTCACTTGAAGCTTACTTGTAGTTTCATGCTTGGTCAAGCGAGATACAAACCATGTAGTAGGAGTCCCCCAAGTCGCCGAGCTGGGGGATCTGCTGGAAGAGGTGACAGACAAGGTAAACAATCAGAGCTCCGGCTGATTGTTCACATTCTCCCTATCTTGCAGGCAGCATGAAGGATAAAGAGAAGAAAAATGAGGAGAGATGATATGGGATACTTTTGCTTTTGAAGAAGTAACTTTCCACAGGCTTATTCTTGAACTGGGCTGGAGGGTTTTCTGGTTTCCTCCAGAGTATAAGGCCGACTGAAGAATTTGAGGGTCAAAACAAGTCTATCAAATCTAGAGTACGTTCGACCCTGCTGATATGGGATACTTTTGCTTTCGATAGAGTAGTGGATGTATCGGCACGTGTGCTGTTACGCTTGTCTCCACATGCTTCCTTGTATCCTTCTCACTTGCCCTATCTGTTCCTCAGGCAGATGCGGTATCTTCCCTGGAAGCATAAGATGTTGAAGATGAGTACTCAAGAGCAATGCCAGGTAAGTAATCAGGTAAGGGGTTCCAGGCAGTCAGTTCCTGGCTGGAAGCTTGATTCCAAGTGCTGACTGATTGCTCTCTTTCTCCTTGTCTTGCAGGTAAGAACAAGGCCAAAGGAAAAGACAGGGAAAAAGCATGATATGGGATACTCTTGCTTTTAACCCTGATGATATGAGATATTCTTGCTCTAGTATAGCTTGTTTACAGAGGTATTATCGGGGGGAAAGAAAGCTGAATATTTCGAAAGGCTTTGTTGGGAGTGCCCTCTCAAATAAGAGAAAGGGTTGAGCATTTTTGCAGGTCTGCCTGTCCGTTAGGGATGGAAGTCGACATATATAGGAGTCTCCCTAACATCAAGTAATAATGCTATTCCTTTACCCTGCTTGGTTATAGCACGGTAGTGGGAGCTGCCAGCTTCACATGTTTTAACTCTGTCAGAGCACTTTGAAAAAGTGGTTTGTGGTATCTGGAAAGCTGATGTTGCGTGTGAAGATTACAGATCTGTCGGGGGTCTGGCTCTCGAGATTCGGAGAACGATGCCTCTTCGATTTTTGAGAAAGCAATCCTGCTGGGGGTCTGGCTCTCGAGATTCGGAGAGCGGTGTCTCTTCGATTTTTGAGAAAGTAATCATGTTGGAGAGTCTGGCTCTCGAGATTCGGAGGGCCGTGCCTCTTCGATTTTGGAGCAAGCAATCTTGTTGGGAGTGTTTTCTCGAATGTGAGTAAAGGTTGGGCATGTTTGCTAGTCTACCTTGCCACGAAGCACAGAGGTTGACACACAGGGACTTTCCAATTATCCAGCAGTGGTACTGTTCCTTTACCCTCTCTTCGATTTTGAGAAAGTAATCATGTTGGGAGTTTGGCTCTCGAGATTCGGAGGGCGGTGCCTCTTCGATTTTGGAGCAAGCAATCTTGTTGGGAGTGTTTTTCTCGAATGTGAGTAAAGGTTGGGCATGTTTGCTAGTCTACCTTGCCACGAAGCACAAAGGTTGACACACAGGGACTTTCCAATTATCCAGCAGTGGTACTGTTCCTTTACCCTCTCTTCGATTTTTGAGAAAGTAATCATGTTGGGAGTCAGGCTCTCGAGATTCGGAGGGCGGTGCCTCTTCGATTTTGGAGCAAGCAATCTTGTTAGGAGTGTTTTCTCGAATGTGAGTAAAGGTTGGGCATGTTTGCTAGTCTACCTTGCCACGAAGCACAGAGGTTGACACACCGGGACTTTCCAATTATCCAGCAGTGGTACTGTTCCTTTACCCTTGTGGGTAATAATATGGTAGCTAGACCTTCAAAATTTATGTGTCTAAACTTTGTTAGTGTTGTTTCTTTGCAATTCTTTTACCCTTCTTGGTCAGAGCGATGTAGTGGGAGCTGCAAGCTTCACGTGTCTCAACTTTGTCAGATAACTTTGGCAAAGTTATCTGTGGTACCCATGAGCTACTGTTGCGTGATTGAACAGTACGATTCATGTGCTTTCTACTTCGCCAGAAATCTTCGACAGAATGCCCATAATTTCCGCAAAGCTGAGTGTGCGTGTGACAGGTGCTGACAAGGCTGGAAAAGTAGGTGCCTCTTCGATTTCTGAAATCGGCCCTCGTGATCTCTGAGCAGCCCAACTTTTGAGAAAGCAAGCCTCTTCGATTTCTGAGATCGGCCTTTGTGGTCTTTGAGCAGCCCAGCTTTTGAGAAAGCAAACACCTCTTCGATTTCTGAGATCGACCCTCGTGGTCTCTGAGCAGCCCAGCTTTTAAGAAAAAGCAAACGCCTCTTCGATTTTCTGAGCAGGCGCCTCTTCGATTTCTGAAGCTTCGTCGAGTGCAGATTTTTATAGGGGCTGACATTAAGTTCCAAAGCACACTTGAATATCCACCAGTAGAAGCTCCATTCTTGCACTTCTAAGATCTTGATTTGTCCGACCTCTTCTCTCTTCAACACCTTTGAAAATGTCTGGCCCCTCCGACCGTCGTTTTGACTTGAACCTTGTTGAAGAGGCAGCCCCGTCTTCTCCAGACAACATATGGCGCCCATCCTTCGTCTCCCCTACTGGTCCTCTTACCGTTGGGGATTCCGTGATGAAGAATGATATGACCGCTGCGGTAGTGGCCAGGAACCTTCTCACTCCCAAAGATAACAGACTACTTTCCAAACGGTCTGATGAGTTGTCTGTTAAGGATTCTCTGGCTCTCAGTGTTCAGTGTGCAGGTTCTGTGTCTAATATGGCTCAACGCCTATTTGCTCGAACCCGCCAAGTTGAATCATTGGCGGCTGAAGTGATGAGTCTCAAACAGGAGATTAGAGGGCTCAAGCATGAGAATAAACAGTTGCACCGGCTCGCACATGACTATGCTACTAAACATGAAGAGGAAGCTTGACCAGATGAAGGAATCTGATGGTCAGGTTTTACTTGATCATCAGAGATTTGTGGGTTTGTTCCAAAGGCATTTTATTGCCTTCGTCTTCTGGGGCTGTACCGCGTAATGAAGCTCCAAATGATCAATCTCTGATGCCTCCTCCTTCTAGGATTTTGTCCAGTACTGAGGCTCAGGCTCCGAATGATCCCCCTCCGGTGCCTTCTCTTTCTGGGGCTCTACCGACTGCTGAGACTTCTCCTAAGCAACCTTTGTGAAGGCTCCCTCTTGTTTGTTTATTTTGACTCAAGTATATGTACATATTTGTAACTTATCAGGGATATCAATAAATAATAAGCTTTCCTTCATTTCAACGTATTGTGTTAAATACACCAAAGCCTTCTTCGCTAAGTTCTTTGAATTTTTTCTTTTGTTGAAGCTTGTATGTTAAAGCTTTGTGAGTGGAGCATATAGGTTGAGGTAGTGTTCCCTTAATTTTCCCGAGTGAGGAAAACTTCTCGGTTGGAGACTTGGAAAATCCAAGTCACTGAGTGGGATCGGCTATATGAATCTTAGAACGCCATTGTGTTCTGTCCTGTGTCATGTCCTCCGTTAGATCCAAGTACTCTAAGTCTTTTTCTTAGGGTCTCTTCCAAAAGTTTTCCTAGGTCTTCCTCTGCCCCTTCGGCCCTGAACCTCTGTCCCATAGTCGCATCTTCTAATCGGAGCGTCAGTAGGCCTTCTTTGCACATGTCCAAACCACCGTAACCGATTTTCTCTCATCTTTCCTTCAATTTCGGCTACTCCTACTTTACCCCGGATATCCTCATTCCTAATCTTATCCTTTCTCGTGTGCCCACACATCCAACGAAGCATCCTCATCTCCGCTACACCCCATTTTGTGTACGTGTTGATGCTTCACCGCCCAACATTCTGTGCCATACAGCATCGCCGGCCTTATTGCCGTCCTATAAAATTTTCCCTTGAGCTTCAGTGGCATACGGCGGTCACACAACACGCCGGATGCACTCTTCCACTTCATCCATCCAGCTTGTATTCTATGGTTGAGATCTCCATCTAATTCTCCGTTCTTTTGCAAGATAGATCCTAGGTAACGAAAACGGTCGCTCTTTGGTATTTCTTGATCTCCGATCCTCACCCCTAACTCGTTTTGGCCTCCATTTGCACTGAACTTGCACTCCATATATTCTGTCTTTGATCGGCTTAGGCGAAGACCTTTAGATTCCAACACTTCTCTCCAAAGGTTAAGCTTTTGTATTTACCCCTTCCTGAGTTTCATCTATCAACACTATATCGTCTGCGAAAAGCATACACCAAGGAATATCATCCTTGAATATGTCCTGTTAACTCATCCATTACCAACGCAAAAAGGTAAGGACTTAAGGATGAGCCTTGATGTAATCCTACAGTTATGGGAAAGCTTTCGGTTTGTCCTTCATGAGTTCTTACGGCAGTCTTTGCTCCTTCATACATATCCTGTATAGCTTGGATATATGCTACTCGTACTCCTTTCTTCTCTAAAATCCTCCAAAGAATGTCTCTTGGGATCCTATCATACGCTTTTTCCAAATCTATAAAGACCATGTGTAAATCCTTTTTCCCATCTCTATATCTTTCCATCAATCTTCGTAAGAGATAGATTGCCTCCATGGTTGAGCGCCCTGGCATGAACCCGAATTGGTTGTCCGAAACCCGTGTCTCTTGCCTCAATCTATGCTCAATGACTCTCTCCCCAGAGCTTCATTGTATGACTCATTAGCTTAATTCCCCTATAGTTCATGCAATTTTGTACATCGCCCTTATTCTTGTAGATAGGCACCAAAGTGCTCATTCGCCACTCATTCGGCATCTTCTTCTTCGTTTTCAAAATCCTATTGAAAAGGTCAGTGAGCCATGTTTATACCTTTCTCTCCCAAAACTTTCCACACTTCGATTGGTATATCGTCTGGGCCTACTGCTTTTCTATGCTTCATCTTCTTCAAAGCAAACACCCACTTCTTCCTTCCGGATTCTACGACGATAAAAAGTAGTTTCTACACTCTTCTGAGTTACTCAACTCCCCTAAAGAAGCACTCCTTTCATGTCCTTCATTGAAAAGATTATGAAAATAACCTTTCCATCTGTCTTTAACCGCGTTCTCTGTAGCAAGAACCTTTCCATCCTCATCCTTGATGCACCTCACTTGGTTTAAGTCCTTTGTCTTCTTTTCCCTTGCTCTAGCTAGTTTATAGATATCCAACTCTCCTTCTTTGGTATCTAGTAGTCGCTTATACATATCGTCATAAGCCGCTAACTTAGCTTCTCTCACAGCTTTCTTCGCCTCTTGCTTCGCTTTTCTATACCTTTCACCATTTTCATCGGTCCTATCCTTGTATAAGGCTTTACAACATTCCTTCTTAGCCTTCACCTTTGCTTTGTACCTCCTCATTCCACCACCAAGATTCCTTTTGGTGTGGGGCAAAGCCCTTGGACTCTCCTAATACCTCTTTTGCTACTTTTCGGATACAACTAGCCATGGAATCCCACATTTGGTTAGCTTCCCCCTCTCTATCCCACACACACTGGGTGATTACTTTCTCTTTGAAAATGGCTTGTTTTTCTTCTTTTAGATTCCACCATCTAGTCCTTGGGCACTTCCAAGTCTTGTTTCTTTTTTTCTCACTCTTTCGATATGTACATCCATCACCAACAAGCGATGTTGATTAGTCCACGCTCTCTCCTGGTATAACTTTGCAATCCTTACAAGTTATACGATCCCCTTTCCTCATTAGAAGAAAAATCTATTTGTGTTTTTGACAACCCACTCTTGTAGGTGATCACATGTTCTTCTCTCTTCTTAAAGAAGGTGTTGGCTAAGAAGAGAGATCATATGCCATTGCAAAATCCAAGATAGCTTCCCCATCCTCGTTTCTCTCCCCAAAACCATGGCCACCATGAAAACCTCCATAGTTGCCTGTCTCCCTGCCCACGTGTCCATTTAAATCTCCTCCTATAAATAACTTCTCCGTCTGAGCAATTCCTTGCACCAAGTCTCCAAGGTCTTCCCAAAATTTCTCCTTCAAACTCGTATCCAACCCTACTTGAGGTGCGTACGCACTAATCACATTGATAAGTTCTTGTCCTATTACAATCTTGATTGCCATGATTCTATCTCCTACCCTCTTGACATCTACAACATCTTGTGTCAAGGTCTTGTCCACGATGATGCCAACACCATTTCTCGTTCTATTTGTGCCCGAATACCATAGTTTAAACCCTGAGTTTTCTAGATCATTTGCCTTACGACCAACCCACTTAGTTTCTTGTAGGCACATAATATTTATCCTTCTCCTCACCATAACTTCTACTACTTCCATAGATTTTCCCGTCAAGGTTCCTATATTCCACGTTCCTAAACGCATTTTTGCTCTCTTGAACTCTACCCTTCTGTCCTAGCTTCTTCACCCTTCCCCGTCTAATAGGATCAAAGTACTTCTTTTGTGTGTCCCGTGTAAAGTTGATAGGAGCATATGCTCCCAAACAACTTTGAGTGGAGTCGTTCGAAAAGAAGTTTCTATAGCCCCCTTGCTCATTTAACACTGTATCCGGGTGCCGATGGAGATACAGCGACCCTTGCTCACTTATCACTGTGCTCAGGCCACACAGCGCGCCACTTACGGGTGACGCCCTAGCTTTAGCGCGATTTCGTTCTGGATTCATTTTCATAAGGATTCGACGTGATCATGGAGTGCCGGCTGTCGACTACCTGACGCCCTCCCCCTCCTCCTTTATCCGGGCTTGGGACCGGCAATGTAAGATAAACTTACACGGCGGAGTTTTACCAACATATATCACGTATGGAGAAAATCAGCTTAAGCTACCGGCCCTGCAACCAGCTCACTGCGAAAAACAATCATACTTCTAAGACCACCATCACAACCACAACCATCCATCTACAAACTAGAAACAGGATCAACGGCTGCGAATCAACATCCTCTTATCCTGGCCTCAATCACTCCTTTTTTTCACGAACAAAACTATAAACAGAATTAGACAACTTAAGACTATAGACTATAGACCATAGATCACACAAGAACAAAAATGAAAGAAAATACACTACGAAACTTACAACAGAATATCCTCTGTAAATAAAATAATACCAATCTACAAACTACAATGCCCACAAGTTGCCAGATGATCCCAGCAAAATAAAGAAACGCACAAGGTGCAGCATTTATATAATAGAGTACTAAAGAAAACCCGTCCTACCAGAACTAGCACTTAAAAGATCCAAAAGAAACAAGCACGATGATCAAGGATCCCTGATATCAGCAGAGCTGCAAAAAGTACACAACTCAGGGTGCTTCCATGATTGTTTCCATACAACAATATCAATCCTGTAAAATACAGTCAAAAGTTACCAAACCAATACTCTTCTGCCCATGCAAGAGAAAGTAATAATTCCAGAAGCAATCAAAACTGTAGACACCAACTCACATCAAAATCAGAATTTCGAGGGGATGGGCTTCGAGAATCAGCAGGGCGATGACGTGGTGAAACACTTCGAGAGGTTGGGGGATTGTCAGAGCTGGCACTGCGGCTCCTGCTTAGTGGGGAAGGGCTCTTCCGAGGACTAGGGCTACACCGAGCAGGGGAGGCACTGCAGTGCAGATTAGTATACGTTAAAGAGACCAAAAGCAAGAACTAGCATACAACTATAAACATAACAAAAAAGGATAATTAGCTTGAATTAAAACCTATCAATAGACCGATATGGACTCCGACTACGACTCCGATATGGACTCTGACTCCGACTCCTATATGGAGTCAGACTCCGCCTTTCATCATCATAGCGCCCCCTTCCCCTGCCCCTGTAGTAATCAGGACTGGCACTACGGCTCCTGCTTCATCGACGGTAGTCTCTGTCCCTACCATAGTATCTGTCACGGTCATACCTATCCCAACTCCTACTGCGACTTCTCCTCCTGTAATCACGGTATCTGTAGTCATCTTGGTACCTGGGAGATTTTAAGTAGTAAGTATTAGGCATTCACTTGAATACTATCAAAAGCTTAAGAATGAAACTGGAGTATTTGTCAAAATCTAAGCACGATCTAGCAAATTGAGTTCAGGATTCTTGAAATCATAAGGAGGGCTAACCTTCTCCGAGGACTGCGACTTCTTGACCTGTACCTTGATTTTGGTAGAGCTTCAGAAATCCTTCCTTTATGACTGAAATAAAGGTGAAAGCAAAAAGAAAGTAAATGGAAGCCGCAGAACAAACAAAAATTAGATTTTCAAAGTTCAATTTCATTATCAATGCAGCTGAAATAACAAGTGTTATTAATAACACACTAAGAAAATTTGCAGACCAGACCCCTTAAGTTTTGGCTCAAAGGAATTTGAGGCGTTAAACCAAATCCATATTTGCGGGATCCTTGCATGATTCCACAACAGAAACCCTTTGAGCCTAACAAACAAGATTTGATTCGACAACCAGAACCCCTTCTAACCAAAACATGGGTTTTCAGTTTTGTCTGCAATGTTGCACAATAAAAAGAGATCGACCCACTGCATATATAATTTATAACATAAACAAGAGTATAGGATTGAAAACAGATACTGCAATCTATGTGACAAGTATTGGTACCAAAGAAAAAAACAATAGGGTAGCATTAGTAACAATACATTACGAATATGCCAATTTAACAAAACAGTCGATGAATAAACCTCAATAAGGATTTACTACAATTTAAGAGCCACATATTCAGTAGTTAAGATTTTTTTTTTTTTTTTTTTAAGAGAGAGTATTACAAGCATATGGGAAGACCTACTACAAGTTCATAATTCCCTAGAGGTACAAAAAGTACCAAAAATAAACTTCAGCCTAAAGAATTCACTGTAAGAAACATTAAAAACTGGAAAACTTACATCCTCTTTGCATTTGGCCCATACTTTGCAAACTGAACAGATATCTCCCGGCCATCAACAACTCTCCCTGCATAAGTATTTAGAATTGTCAAGACACTTAATAAGCAGTGACAATTAAAAAAAGGTAGCAGAAACACAATTATTAACAGTAATAGTAATTATAAAATCGGAAAATTCAAATACCATCGAGCCTTTCACCTGCTTTCTGAGCCTCATCTGCGTATTTGTATCAAACAAAAGCAAACCCCCTTGACTCTCCAGTCCTAAACCAGAGGAGGGAAATAAAGGTCCAAAATTCAGTCATCGAAAACAAAACAATTTTTGTTAACCATAAACAACAAAAAAAAAATTGAGGGAAGGACATAAATTCAAATGTGCAGTTCCTACAGTTAACTAGTACTCCACTTCAAGAGAAGCTATTGCTCCCCCAAACACCATAAACAGGTGATCATAAGCGTCGAATTCCCATATCTTCTCAGCATTCATAAAAATAAGAAAAATAATGATTAAATAAGAGATTGCACAAATAACAATAATTTGAATGTTTAGGTACAACCACAAACAAAACATTCGTAACTTGTCGTAATACCGATTTTCTCACATGATTTTTCTAAGTACATAGACATTGTTTTCAAACAAATCAAAGATATTCAATTTCTCAGGAACGAAACAGACTAATAAGCATTAAAAAAGAAAAAAAAAAACATCTTCATCGAGACAAACCTCGGGTCTCTGGGGATGAAGATGTCAACAACTTTGCCATACTTATCGAAAAGCGGAAACAGATCATCAGCGCTCGTACCTGTTCATAACAATTGCAATCAATCTACAAACTACCACCTTCAAACCAGCCAAAAACAAATTAAAAACAGAGAGAGAGAGAGAGAGAGAGAGCGCTTACGGAAGGTGATGTTGAGGACGAGGAGAGAGTAGGTGTCGGTGATGTCCGGAGGGCCAGACCTACCGAAGTGAGATATGGTTCTTGCACTGTTAGTGAGAGAGAGATTGGGAAATTGGAAATTAGGAATTTGGAATTAGGGCTAGGGTTTGTGGTTAGTATAATTTGGAGGGTACCAAGATCGAACCTTCGTTAAGTGTCCTTCGGAATCTGCACTCGAGTGCGCTGATAAATGTAAATGAGATGAGGAGGCTTCTGGAGGCTGGACTCTGTTTTCGGGGGACGTTGGCGATTGGATGATCGAATTTGGGTATTTGGCCCCATGGAAAGACTACTTTGGAAAATTTCAAATATTGCCCCCTTTTAAAGGGATCATTTTGCCCCTAAGTAAGTTTTATCATCTTACCTTCTTAATGTGTGAAGGAACTCAATTTTTTTTTACCAAAAACATAACAATATTCATTAAAAACAATTATAATAGTGCATTAAAGACGTGTAAAATATACGTATTTCAACATAATTATAAAAAGAAAAAAACTCTATTATCTTTGTTGATTATTTATTTATTTTTTATTTTTTTTGGCGAAACATCACAAGGGGATCTCGAGTTCGTTGTCGATATTTCTATCCCTTAATTCAAGTGTTTATATTTTCTTATAGGCTTAAATGTCAAAATGGTCACTGTGTTATAGCCATAAGGCCAATTTAGTTCCCGTGTTTTTTATTTTGCTAATTTAGTCCTCATATTTGTCTCTATTAACCAATTAAAGACATTTCATTCAATCTCTTTTTAAAAAATCATACGAAATGGCTAATTTAGTTCCCATGTTTTTTATTTGGCTAATTTAGTCCTTATGTTTGTCTCTATTAGCCAATTAAGGACATTTCATTCAATCTCTTTTAAAAAATTCATAAGAAAAATTATATAAGATATAATTACTCTTTCTCTTTATAGAAAAATTCAAATCAATAAGAAAAACACATATAATAGATGAAAAATGATTAAGGTAGTGACATAGAAAAGAGGAGGTAATGTTAAGGAAGAGGTCGGAGAGTTGAAAGGTGAATAATTTTTCTTTTAATTTTTAGTTTTATTTCATTTTTTAATATTTTAAATCAAATAAATAATTTTGTAAATAAGTTTATTTATATATATTTTTTTTTTACAAAAATTAGATGGAAGTGTCCTTAATTGGCGAAAAAAGATAAATACAAGGACTAAATTGGCCAAATTGAAAACACAGACTAAATTGACCCAATGACTAAAACACAGAGATCATTTTAACATTTAAGCCTTTCTTATACTGTCCCATTAGACCATCTCCAACCCTGGCCTAAAACCTAAAAATATTTAGCCCAAAAAATTTAGGTTTTAACCCAGAAACAGTTTTTCTGCTCCAACCTTTAGACCATCTTCAATGGTGGCTTATAACCTAAAAATATTTAGCCCAGAAAATTTAGGTTTTAGCCCAGAAACAGTTTTTCTGCTCCAACCCTTTTAGCCCAAAATTTTAGCTCGAGATTATCAAAGAATGGATTAAGGCTAATGTTTTTTAAATTAACTTTTAAAAAAAAATTATGTTGACTATCCTAAATTAATTATATGAACATTTTAACCTAAAAATATTTAAATTCCGATAAATTTTGAAAAATCACTAAATCAATACATGAAAATCATGATAAACCACATAAACTTAATACAAACGATATTTAATAAACCACATAAACTTAATACAAATGACAATTAATAAACCACATAAACTTTAAAAAAAAAAAAAAAAAAAAAGACAATTAATAAACCACATAAACTCTAATATGCTCTTTTGCCATCTTGAAAATTTTGGAAATGAGAAGAAATGGTAGAAAGAAAAATTGGAAGAATTGTAGGAGAAAAGTGAATTTTGTGTGGATGTTTGAACAAATACATAGGTATTTATAAAGTTTTTGGTTGAATTTTAAGTTAAATAATTTTTTTAAAATTATTTTAGCAGTTGGATTTAAATTTGGACCGTTAGATCTTCTTTTTTACCGTTAGATTTGATAATATTCGATCTAAGCCGTTAGATTCAATAAATATATAAATATATAAATAAAAAAAATTTGAACGTGGACCGTTGGATTAACCAACGGTCCAATTAAACTGGTCGTTGGATGAACAAAAGTAGCCGTTGGATTTAAATTTGGACCGTTAGATCTTTTTTACCGTTAGATTTGATAATATTCGATCTAAGCCGTTAGATTCAATAAATATATAAATATATAAATAAAAAAAATTTGAACGTGGACCGTTGGATTAACCAACGGTCCAATTAAACTGGTCGTTGGATGAACAAAAGTAGCCGTTGGGCTACAGTAAGGCTGACAGCAGAGGGGACCAACCCATGTGGGTGGGCCTTCGGCTGGAAAAAAAGGGCGCGTGAGGCGCGTTGGGGGGACTGGGTTTTGGGGTGTGGGCTTCACAACCCACTTTTCACTTTCACTCATGGGTTCCATTTTACTTTGTAGGCTAAATTGTGGCTGGTATTTGCCTTCCTTTTAGGTTTGGTTTTGGTTTTGGGTTGGAGTGGGTTGGGGGGGGGGGAAGAGAATTTTAGGTTATAAGTCTTATAGCCTAAACTTTTAGCCCGATATTATTAAAGAATGAAGTTAGGTTAATTTTTTTCTTAAATTAACTTTAAAAAAAAATTATGTAGAATATCGTAATTTAATTTTATGAACATTTTAATCTAAAAATATTTAAATTCCGATAAATATTGAAAAATCACTAAATCGACACATGAAACTCACCAAACTTTCAACATTCACTAATCGTTCAACTTTCACCAACATTCACCAAACTTTCAACTTTCACCAATCATCCCCGATATAAACACATGTTGAATGTTAGTTGATCACACAATTACCTTCAATCATCCTTTATATTCATCAATCTTTCAACTTTCAAAGTGTTTTGGTTTCTTAAAAATCCTCAATATCTCATCAATGGGTGATAGAAGAAGACGTAGCAGGGCAATGCAGATGGCACAATACCAAGCAAGCATTGACATTAAGGATACATAAATGATCAACACAGAAGTTGAACTAGCAAACTCACTTATTCAATATGAGCACCATGCCAAATCTAGCTATTATGGTTCTGTCACGAGGCGTTCATCTGTGCAACGTGATAGAGAAGAGTGTCATGACCAAATGATGAAAGATTATTGCAAGAGATGTTATAGCTAATGGGTGCTCTGCAGACTCAACTGACGAGTATTGCCGACTTGCGAAAAGTACTGCTATTGAGAACCTGAAGCGCTTCTGTTAGGCAATTCAAGCCATATATGGAGCCACATACCCCCCGAAAGCCAAATCGTGAAGACTTGAAGAGGCTTCTACACAAGGCAGACAAAAAAGGCTTCCCTGGCATGATAGGAAGTCTCGATTGTATGCATTGGGAGTGGAAGAATTGTCCTACTGCTTGGGCTGGCCAATTCAATGGCCATTATAACAAGCCAACCATCGTGCTTAAGGTTGTGGCGTCTTATGACACATGGATTTGGCATGCATTCTTCGGCATTCCTGGATCAAACAACGATATTAATGTTCTTTGGTCTTCACCTCTATTCAATAATGTTGTCAATGGATGGGCACCAGAATTTTAGTACAAGGTAAATGGTAATAGGTATGAGCTAGGTTACTACCTAACTAATGGTATTTATCCTAGTTGGTCTACCTTTGTTAAAAGTTTTTCTCATCCCGATAGTGCAAAGAAGAAATTATTTTCGCAGAGGCAAAAGTCTTACATGAAGGATGTGGAAAGAGCATTTGGGATCTTACAAGCTTAATGGGACATTATTAGAGGGCCTGCATGACTTTGGCGTACCGAAGACCTTCATTTAATCATAATGACGTGCATAATTTTGCACAACATGATTGTGCAAGATGAGTACATCAAAATTGAAGAAGATTCAGACAAAGATGTGGATGATGACCAACCAACACATGCGAGAGCTATTGCAAGTGATGTTAAATATCTCGCTGAAACCACATATGAGACCCGACATGTAGGGTCACATTGAGTGAGTATATGAGACGTTTAATTAGAATTCAAGCTCTTCAAGGTCATGACACACTCCGTAAGGATTTGGTTAAGCATGTATGGCGCCGAGAAGGTGAACGTTGATGATGTTAGTTGAGCATTTATGTAATAATTTAAGTGTACTATGTTGGTATTTTCTAATAATAAATAAGTGTCTTCTTGTGCAAAGTATTTTGTGTAGTACATTGAATAAATTATTGAATGGAGGTTAAATTATTAAAGGCATCTATTCTACATCAAAGTGTGGAATAATAAGTACAATAATTATTGAAGGCATCTAGATTAATAGAAACAATAATTAATACACACGACAATTAATAAAGTACATAAACTTAATACAAACGACAATTAATAAACCACATAAACTTAATACAATCGAAAATTCATAAACTACATAAACTTAATAATGATATCCACCATCTTGATATGGTGATGGACTTAGTGGTGGACTTGGGATATAGCCTTGAGATAAATTATCTTCTTGAAATATACTCTTTATGGCATCCCTTTGCAGAATTTCCCTTTACTTACCACGTAAGTACTTCTTCCTCTCTGGAGTGTATTTGTTGAGGGCTTCCATCATCAAATTTATTTTGAACCTCTCTTGCTCCCTATCCCCGTTTTCCTTCATTTGCAAACGCATTCGAGCCGCTTCTTTTTTGCTAGCATTATGGATTTCGCTCAATTTTGCAATTCCAGTAGCAATGGGTCCACTCATTGGATCTTGGGACTTCCTTTTTCTCTTTGCTTCCTTTTGCTTATCTCATCCGGGGGGCCTTGCAAAAGAAGAAGTTGGGGTCATTTGTTCGATACCTTCATTGACACCTTCATTCGCACCTTCATTGAAATCATTTGGGGGCGGGGCTTCACTATGAAATAATCTTCCCCATTGTTGGTCCGCATCGGTTCCCCACCTCGGACAATCCTTGAGGACGTTTCAAGCATGATGCAACTTAAAAGCTTGATTTTTTGGTCAAGTAGTTCTTGCGGACATACTGAGCTATCAGAGTAATAACTTAAAAGCTTGAGGACGTTTCAAACCAGAGTTTTTTCTTCTTCTAATTTTTATGTCATAACTAGATTATCAGGATATGTTTCTTTAAAAAAAAAAGGTTGTTGCCTTAGTTCTTGATATTCACATTTGGGTATAAATAGTTTTCTATTATCGTCTATGTACTATCTTTTTCTAATTATTAACGTATCCAATTAAAAAAAAGGCATAACTAGATTATTGAACTACCAAAAATTAGAGTGCTGCC